CAACTGAATGGTGTGAATCGGTGATCATACCGATTTACAAGAAAGGTGACAGATCCTCCTGTGAAAACCACAGAGGAATTAGTTTAATCAATATTGCCTCTAAACTTTTCGCCAGTATCGTAGTCCTTGATTCTACTTTCTTTGTCCTCATGTTCACGCAAATGGGCGACCAAAATTCAGCAACCAAAACCGGCGCACAATAGTGGGTCGTTAATGGTTGTACAAAGTGAAAATTCAGCAGAATACCGTTCGCCTAGTAAGAGGACTTTCTAAATCCGTACCGAGACATCTTTTATCGATGCTGAGTAATTTTAAAATAGCAAAATGTATATACCAGTTATGTTCGATCGGATTAGGGATACCGCGTGCAATAAAAGTTATGTTATCCTTTGAGTGTTTGGATACCAAATTATCTTTATATTTTTGTCTACTTTTCCATCTATTTGATTTTGAATAGCCGTGAAATCAGAATGGTAGAATCTGATTGTTCACCGTCAGAGGCTCATCGCTTTCTGTCATTTCGGGGCTCTTGGGAACCGGTTTCACACAGGGATATTGAAGTTGCAGAATATCTCATGGATCGGAAACTTCACCTCTCAGCACTGGAGTACTATTTCGAACAATTGGAACGTGGAAAGAAGATCAACTTGTTACATAATTTTTTCACTGATGCAAGTTCACTCGATGCATCTGGTCCTCAGTTGAACGAGGAAGGACCATTTGCCATCGGTAGGTGCCACTGTTTCCCGTTCTCATTCGTGTTTCTGTCTTGCTCAGCCGCCTATCGAAGTGTATCCACATTGGACTCTGTCGATATCGGACGGGCCTCTGATGATGGAAATAGTTTGGAGGACAAGTTAAAAGGTAATTTATGCTTCACCTATATCAACTATGTCTTGTCAGTTTTGGAATATGAACTGCGGAAGAAAAACGAAGAGATTCAAAGTTTACGTAACGAATTGACCACTATCACTGTGGGTCATGCTGTCGAGGAAGGCTGTCAGTTGACCAAATCAAGTAGGTCACTCCGTTTGCATAAAATGCACTTGGTTTCTCCGACCCATAAATTAAATTCAATGCGCTCAGTGTATACCGACTTTATTTTCGATGTATTGATCAAGTTTCTACGTGGTGCCAGGTCCTTGATCTGCGTCACACCCACCGTTGACCAACCACCTCAGTTCCTCTAACCTAAAAGAGCCTTCGACTCAGTTGAACGCGACGCACTAATGGGTTTGCTTCTTCAGGAAGAAACGTGCCAGAAGTGCGTTAACTGACCGAGGTCACTGTACTCACATACCTCTAGTCGAGTGACAGTTTATAAATAATAAATTTATTCGTTCTTCACCATCAGCGGCGTTCGTCAAGGGTGCCGTATATCGTCATTCCTGTTCAGTTTCCTCATAGTTGATGTGCTGTAAAGCACTCTAGATAGTTTTCAAAATGTAGGTATTGAATGGGCAGCTGGAGTAAAGCAGTGCAATTTAGAATCTGTCGATGACATCGTCTGTCTGTCCAAATGTATGGAGGACGCACGAAGCGCTTTCACTCCATTCGGTATGTGCTTTGCACCTGCAAAGTGCAAGGTGATGCTGCAAGACTTTGTGTCGCCTAGTCCCGTTTTGTAACTAAATTGTCAGGAATTAGTTTTTTGTGGATAGCTTAGGCAACTTTGTGACCAATGACGGCAGCGCATCAGAAGAGATAACTGCCCGCATTTCCGAGGCTCGAGCACCGTATCCGGACTGAAACACGTTTGGTACACACGTGATGTTTTCTTGAAATTGAATGGTCGTGTGTAATGTGCTACTGTTCGTTCAGTTCTGCTGTATGGATGTCCGAGCTTGAGTTTTTGCGAGTCGAAGATACTCATGGACTAGAAATTTTCAATTATTGATGTTTACGTAGTTTGGCACACGTGGGATGGAGCGAACGGGTTAGTAATCTGGTTGGTTGGAGACATTGAAGGATATGACAGCGAACCGGCAGCAGTGGCCTTCTTGTTGTCATTTTTTATCAGGTCAGAATGCTTGAAGCGGTATGTATGCCTAGTTCGATTGCGTACTCTGTGTGTTGACCACAGTGGCTCATCTTCTCCCTCCCTCAAAATAGATCCAATCCTATCAACGGACTGTGTGACAGTAGCAATAAATACAAAAACGAAATTGTCGGTGTTGAAAGACTAAATTGCGAGTTTAGTCCAGTTGCACACTGCACTGGCCTGCCAGACTTAGTCTGCTTTACGCCATCACCAACTATCAAACCCGCCACACTCCTCCAACAGCTACTGAAAACAAAGACATATAAAGAATCTGGTCCGGATAAACTATCACCCGTGGTACTCAAGGTATGTGCGGACACCTTTTCAGTCCCATTGTCTAAAATATTCGGTGACTGTCTGATAAGCGGGAAAATTCCTGGTATTTGGAGACCAGCTAAGAAATCCAAACGTTAGCACATTGATCCGCGGTTATTTCACAAATAGAAGGCAGTTTACGTGCCTCAACTGCAAAGATCCTCCACTCGCCCGGTTCTGGTGTTCTGCTAGGTGCAACATTTTCCTCATTTTTTTCAATGTGTGTGAAGCAATTTCCCATTCCTCCTGCATTCATTGGCTGTAAATACGCAGATGACGTTGTTTTAGGTCGTAAAGCATCCACCCCTGAAGAGGCTTCAGAACTTCAAAGCAAGTTAAACGACGTTGTTACTTGATCCCTGTCCCGTTCCCTCATTGAATGCCTCTAAATGTCAAGATGCTGTATTTTCCCTCTTGACCGATGTACCATATTCAACTGTCACAGATAGGTTCCCCACTCTCTCTGCAAATCATGAATCCGTACCGAAATTAACAATGGTAAAATACCTCGGCGTCACTTTATCACACAATTTATCATGGTCAAAATATTCTGCAAAGTTAGAAAGCTTTCATATTTCTCACTTCGATTGAGAATACTTTCTGCTCCCCACAAGCTGATTGTTAGGTTTGTGATTACATGTGTGCTACTCCACTGGTTGTATTGCTCTCCAGTGATTTTAACCGGCGTGTTGAAGAAATACTTTTATTTACTGGCGAGATCTCTGAAATACATCTCTAAATAGAACAAGGAGTGGCGAACAAGCTCGTTTTCAGTGATTCGTAGTCATGCCAAATA